GCTCGCACTTCTCTTCCGTCCGTACGTTCCTGCCTCAATCCGTTCCGTCTCGGGACGTTTCCCAGCTGCAGCCGCCGCCGCTTGCCAGTCACGCCGTTCTCGTTCTCCGTCTCGTGCCTTGAGGAGCTCCCTTGCGCCCCACTCGGCAAATTCCAGACTCCGCCCTCCGTGGCAAAATCCAGAGTGTGTCCTTGGCTTACAGGGATCCTCCAGTAGCTCATCCTCACAGGCTGTCAGCCCCTCACGGACCTCACCGCCTGGCCACTCTTCGTCAGGATCTCCTCGTGCGCCAGGTTCCCAATCTCGTTCTTCATCTTCCACTGTGTCTGTTGAGGCAGCCACCGCCTGTCTGGCCTCCCTCACATTGTTCAAACGGATCTCCGTCACCGCTGCGACTTCATATCCGCTACACGACTTCCCCACTCTTGGAGTCTTCCACGACGCCTCCGAGTCGGTGTCGCCGCTCGTACTCGTGTATCGACAACCACCGTCGCCCGTCATCCGTCTCGTCCTGCCCATTAACGCCGGCTCGTACTGGTCGTACTTCGAACTCGAGGACATACTGTCCTGCTTCGTTACGTCGTCGTCGCCGTCGTAGTTCCACCACTCGCTCGCCCGGTTCTCTGTCCATTCCTTCGTCCTCCACTGCGCTTCGACCTCGTTTCTCGCCTCTTGCCGTCGCTGTTGCACGTACGGCTGCCGTCGCTGATCCGGTAGCCGCTTCTGTCGCCGACGCAGGCTCCACGTTGCCGAGCGCATTCTCCTGTTCCAGCTCCGCCTCAATGTCCGCAGCCGCTTCTCGTAGGAATTCCGTAGGATGGTGATAAGACACCAAGAAAGACGCGTGGCAATAACCTTCTCTGGTATCTCCGTGTCCTCACGCTCTAGCAAGTAGTTGTCGAAACCTGCAGCTTCCACAATCCGCAACGGTCCCAGCCACTGGTGGACAAATTTAGACGCCTTCGGGCCTCGGGGAGGTTTGAACATCCAAACTCGATCACCTTCGTTGAACGTTCGTTTACCCCTCACTCGACGCCCGTAATACTTTGCTTGACGCCGCTGCTCGCGTTCTCGAGCTCGTTCCGCTTCTTTATGACTGATCTCCAAAGTCGCCACCAATTTATTGTGGTATTCGCTCACGTCAGCAACTTCGTCTCGACTCGTTGCCCGTAGTAGCTCGTTAGGACTCTTGAGACGCCTCCCTATCATTAATTTGTTCGGAGTCAACATCACCGTAGAGTGCCGTCCCGAATTGTAGGCGTAGACCGCGAAATCCGCCCATTGATCCCAATCTCTCTGCTCGCCGTCATGAATGAAAGTCGCCACCATGTTTTTTTATGTACGGTTAAACCGTTCTACCAGGCCTATCATTTGGGGTCTGTAGGGCACCGGGTTCTTCTGATGCGCTTGTAGCAGCTCCACCAATTCCTCAATCACGTGGCCCGTCAATTCCGGCGCTCCATCCGTCAATAATTCGCGAAAAGGCCCGAACTTGAGCACAACGTTCCGCATTAGAAATTCTGCCACCATATTCGCCGTGTGTTGCTTCACCGTTGCTGCGACTGCGTATCGAGTCACATATTCTACTGCAGCCACCACGAATCGTTTGCCACCGTCCGTTGTTGGTAAGGGGCCAGCCACATCTAATGCCCACCGGTCGCAAACACTGCCACCTCGTAAGCTTCGTAGCGGTGGGATTACTTCCCGGGACCTCGCCTTCCTACTACCACATTCCTGACAACCTGTAACCCATCTCTTGACCTCACGTTGCAGGTTCGGCCACCAATATGTTTGTGACATTCGTGCATATGTGTGGGGTGCGCGAAGATGCCCTGCCCATATCGAATCGTGTGCCTCCTTGAAAGCTGTCGCCCAGAGCTCTGGGGGTAAGATCACACGAGACCCTGCTGTAGTCTCTATCACCGCGAGTCCAAAAGACAGTCTCACCTCCTTGCCTCGGTACTCCTTCGCATCAACTAGCCGTTGCACCATCCGACTCTTGTTCTGCGCTGTGACAATATCCGCATCCGTCAGTTGCAGTGTCGGTTCTTGTGCGGTCCTTCGTGCTTCAGCTACAGCACGCAACCGTTCCGCTTCCTGTATTGCCGCGTGTGAAGTCGCCGTCGCCTGGGGCATGGGTCGCGATGTTGCCGTCGGCTTTACCACATTAGCATCGTCATCACCATCCTGTTCCTCGTCATCCGTTGAAGCCTTCACGTACTCCGCCTGCACCTCTCGAGTCTCTGTGGGGTACTTCGCAAAGCCTCACTATGAGTCATCCGTCGTCGCTGGCTTCCTGTGTTTGCTCGCGCTCTTGTCACCATGGCTCGCATCGAGTTTGGAAATGCCGCCCATGTTGCCGTCTTCGTGCTGCGTCGTTTCGCTCCTGGTATCACCAAGATCGATCGCCGTCCCCCAGTTGCGCTGGTGAGTGTCGGGTTCGTCGCCTTCTCGTCCGATGATCCGTTCGTCACTTGATCGCGTGCTACGGCTGCCTTCTCCAGTACCCTTTCTGCCACGTTAGTCTCACCAGGCATCGCATCACCCGAACCCGCGCCATTCAGGTCCGTCGCGTCACTGCTCGTACCGAAGCGCAATGTATCGCCGTCTATGTGATCGTCCACTGACACGTCCACCGTATTGTTCTCGTTCGGCGTTCCGCCCTCATCCTCGTCGTCCTGTTCGTCTGAACCCTTGTGGTCCGTCTGGCTCGTGTCACGTACGATGCTGTTGGTCGTAGAGTCTGCCGCGTCAGGTGCAACTTGCTCTCGTGTTGTTTTTCCGCCGTCCGGGGGTCGTGCCTTCCGTTCTGATGCACGGATCACCCGCCGCCGACGCCGTCGCCGTCCAACCGCCGCTCGTACCGTCGCCACCACCGGTGCTCGTGACAACGCATCCGCCACCACATTGGTGCTGCCCGGCCGGTACTGGACTTCAAAGTCGAACTCCTGCAAAGTCAGGGCCCAACGGTGGAGATTCCCCGCTAGATTAGGACTCGTCATGAGCCACTTCAACGCTGAGTGATCCGTAACGATCGTAAACCGCCGCCCGTAGAGATAGGGACGGTTGAGCTTAATAGCCCACACCACCGCCAGACACTCCAATTCTGTAATTCCGTAATTCGCCTCCGTCTCGCTCGCCACCTTGCTCGCATAGCTCACGGGTTGTAAGCCGTGGCCCTGGTCCTGCATTAGCACCGCCCCTAACTCAACCTTACTCGCGTCCGTTACCAACGTGAAAGGCAACTGGAAGTCCGGATACACCAACAACGGCTTGCTGATTAGAACCGCCTTGACTCGTTCGAACGCCGCACGTTGCTCGTCACCC